CCTGCAAAAACTATAATTCTGGATCTAAGCTCAATCCTTTTAATTTAATTTCCTCTATCCCCTAACTTGAATTTTTTTTTAGGGTCACTAAGCTAATAGCACAGTGATCCAAAATTTAATTTTGCTATTAAACTTCAAAGAACCTAAAGTAGGGCTTACTATAAACAAGATCGTAGAAGCATAGCTAAAGAACTGGGAGGGGTCCAAGAGCCCATCTTCTCCAACACCCTCACTCTATAGACTGAAGCCTGGAGAGATTAAGTGATATGCCAAGGTCACACAGGCAGTGGGCATCGACGGCAAGATACGAACTCATCTGTAAAATGGCGATAATAGCCAGCTTTAGGGGGTATTGTGAAGATCAAATAAGATTGTTTACTTTGCCAAGTAAAGTGCTTCGCAAACCTCAAAATGTCATATAAATATCAGTTATTAGTATTATGCTTAGGAATCACATTCCCCTGACCTCATCTAGGCCAACATCACAGTTATGTCCAAATTGCATAGTTATGTCTCCCTGTCTCTGGTTCCTACCTCAATCAATACGTCCAATGCACTGTGGATAATGAACTTAATATTAGTTAATTACGTATTTAAGTGTAGCATGCATTTCTGCCTCCCCTGTTGCATATAGGATAATAAAGTCTAAACATCTTAGCTTAGCACTCAAAGCTTGCTAAAGTTTATTACCCATAATAATAGTAGTAATTGGTATTTATATAGCATTTTAAGGTTTGCAGAGCACTTTACAAATGTTATCTCATTTGATCCTCACAATACTCTTGTGAGGTAGATGCTATTATTATCTCCATGTCATAGATGGGGAAACTGAAGCTGAAAGAAGTTAAATGACCCAACTAATCTGTGTCTGAAGCAGGATTTGAACTCCTGACATTAGAACGTCTCAGGACACCAAGTTTAGCATTCTCTCCACTAGGCCACCTTGCTTCCATTTTGGTCCTCATCCACCTATCCAGACTCATCTCTAAGCATTCTCCTACTTAACTCCCCCATCCAAGCCACACTGGTCTATCCACTGTTCCCTGAATAGGTTGGCTCCTTTTTGCCTTTGCTCATCCAAACCACTCAAACAGTTCAGCAATATCACTGGTTCACTCCAGTGATGCAGATTGCAGCCCCTCAGGTCTGCTCATCCTCTGTGATCCCTGTCCATGTCTTCTGACTAGTTCATCATAGAGGTCCAAGGTGCTGGGTCTTCCTTGTGTGGGATATGCATGAAGCATGTGGGGCATCTTTATCAGTCATCACTTCTCCTTCACTACGTAAGCACAAGAATTTATTTTCTTCTTTCCTGATGACATATTTCCATGATCACAGCCTTTCCATGGCTTCTCTTTGGTCATTCCTTATTTGTAACATAGTGCAGCCTGATCATGCCCACTCCACAGCTCTTTATCATCACAATATCTCTTGTATATGTCACCTTCTCTCTACTCCTACAACCACTACTCAAGTTCAAGCCCTCAGCACTTTTGACCTGGACTAGTGGAATGTCACCAGGGGCAGCTAGGTGGTGCCGTGGATAGAATGCAGGACCTGAAGTCAGGAAGACCTGAGTTCAAATCTGACCTCAGACACTTACTAACTGTATGACCCTGGGCAAGTCACTTAACCTTGTTGCCTCAGTTTCCTCATGTGTAAAATGAGCTGGAGAAGGAATTGGCAAACCATTCCAGGATCTTTGCCAAGGAAACCCCAAATAGAGTCACAAAGAGTCAGACATCTCTGAAACAAGTGAACCTACTCAACAACAACAAATTGAAATCACCTCCCAATTGGTCTCCCTGCCTCAAGTCTCTCCTCAATCCTCTTGTCAGCTGCCAAAGTGATTTTCCTAAGATGCTGGTCTGACCATGTCACTCCAAACCCCAAAAAACTCCAGTGGCTCTTTATCACCTGCTGAATGAAATATAAACTCCTCTATCTGACACTTAAAGTTCTCCACAGTCTGATCCCTCCCTCCCTTTCCAGTCTTTTTACACTTTACTTCCTTCTACATACTCTATTATCTGGCCCATCTAGTTGTCCTTCTCTCACATGACATCCCATCACCCACCCTTTGCACCAGCCTGTCCCCCCCACTCCTGGAATGCTCTAACTACTCACTTCTGCCTCTTAGCTTCCCTGGCATCCTTCAAAACCCAACTTAAAGCCCACCTTCTACAGTTTGCCTTTCCTAGTCCCTCCAGTTTCTAGTGTCTTTCCCTCTAGGATTACTTTCCATTTTCTCTCTTTCTGTCTCTGTTTCCTGTTTCTCCCCTCTCCTTCTCACTCTGTCTTTGTCTCTCTCTCTCTGTCTCTCTCATTCCCTCTCTTGCTTCTCCCCATCCCCACTCTTTGTCTTTGTCCCTCCCTCTCTCTCTCTCTCCCTCTCTCTCCTCTCTCTTCTCTCTATCTATCTCTATATCTCTCTCTCTATATATATATATATATATATATATATATGTATATATATGTACACACATACATACATTTGTGTTTGTATAGAGAGACACAGAGACAGAGAGACAGAGAGAGTCTTCTATGAATCTAGTTATTTATACGTTGTCTTCCACTTTGGAAGTAGATAGGTGGTACAGCAGATAGAGCCCCAAGCCTGAAGTCAGAAAGACCTGAGTTTCAAATCCTACCTCAGATATTTACTATCTAGGTGACCCTGGGCAAGCCACTTAACCTCCATTTGCCTCAGTTTCCTCATCTGTAAAATGGGGATAATAATAGCACCTACCTGGAAGGGTTGTTGTGAGGATCAAATGAAATAATGCCTGTAACACACTTAGTTCAATACCTGGCACATAGGAAGCACTTCAACAATGTGTAAGGACTGACGTGTTCTTTGAAGGATTCTCATTTTCAGCTCTTCAGAGATGATAGTATTCCATGACTTAGTGCCAAACAACAATACTAGAAGAATATCAATATTTAAGAGTGGAATCTTCACTTCAGGGAGAAGTTTGAGAGGGGCACTAAGAGAACTTTGCAGATCCCCCAAGGCAATTCAGCCCATTCTGGCCCTCCTGCATCATTCTGAGTCCACTTCATTAGCCATTTGCAGTCTATGCTCATTCGGCCACATACACCAGCACACAAGCTCAAAAGCCTGTTCTGGTCACTACGTCATTGTCTGATGACACAAGGTAGCTTGTGCCACCTTTTCCACATCTTCCCAACCGGATTGTTAGTTTTTCAAGAGTTTAACATCAGGCGTCTGCCCTTGTGTTCTCGTAGTCTCAGTGCTCGGCACACAGTAGGCATTCAATAGCTTGCATCTCTTGTTGATAAGGATTTACTATCTGGCAATAGGAAATTCCTTCTTTCGGCAAGTATGGGAAGAGACTTCCTTCCCACTGCATTTCTATTTCAATAAGAGGAAAACTTTCAGAGAAAAAAAAAGTGATGGAGTCTGGGGTCATGAGAAGTAAAGGACCTTAGCTCCTACCGCTCTTCCAGATGTGAGGCAGAACCAAAACCCAGATCCATAAACTGCTGAAGGACTCTCTCAACCACCATGAAAAGAAGAATGAAACCTTGGATCTCTGCCAAGGGTGGTTTCTGTTATGCATAAATTTCAGCAAAAAAAATTAGTCATTAATTAATTTCATGGTCATACTGAGCTAATTAAGTTGTCTGGTTGAAAACAGGAATTAAAAACACCATGTAGTTATTAGTGCTAAAAAGCACTCTAAAAAAAGGAAAAAGGGGGAAAGGAAACCCCAAGTAGAAGAGAAGGGTGAAAAGTGACACCATTCTGGGAAGGCTGGTTTCCTCTCTGGGACAACAACACTCGGAATCTCAGTTGCTTCCATTTCCCTGCAAAAATCTTCCACTCATACCAAGAGAGTAGCCAGTCCCTCCTCCTGAAACCACACAGCTAAATCACATAATGAGTCATGTTGGCCACTTGCAGAAAATGAGGGGGAGGGAAGGGGGAGGTTGCGATTTCCAAACACCTGTAGTCAATTGCATTTATTTTGAGCAGCCAAAACCCCAAATTGGAACCTCTTTGCAGAGCTGCTGTGGCTAGCATCTTTTGGGAATGGCTATGGCACAGTGTTCTTTTAGACCTAAGGACGAAAAATCTCCTGTTTTCGATAGTGTCACATAGCAAAGGAAACAGCAAAGCCCCAGAGTCGAGCAAATCCGCATGTGGCCAGCCTCTTGGGAAAAGAGTCATCAGGGATGGTCTCGGTGTGTTGAACCTAGCCAAGAACTGACTGCACAAATCAAAGAATCCGGATTTTAGTCAATTTCTGGGCTATGCCTATCAAGCCCACCTGGCCATTTATTCTTTGCCTGAGTCTACCACCCAAATGATAAACTGTCTACTGCAATAAACAGCCCTGACAGCAAGAAAGCCAGGAAGTGGATACTTTAGAAAGGTCTTTTCATTTTCTCAATCTTACATTTCAAGATCTGCACTCAGGAGTCTATCTGCAAGTGGACTTGCGGGGAATAAGAGCCTATAGTTAGCACATTTATTAGATGGCTAGAAGAAGACACTCCCTTCTAGCAGACTATATTCTCCCTGAGGGCCTCAACTCTTTTTCTTTCTTTCTTTCTTTCTTTCTTTCTTTCTTTCTTTCTTTCTTTCTTTCTTTCTTTCTTTCTTTCTTTCTTTCTTTCTGGGACAATCGGTGTAGTGACTTGCCCAGGGTCACACACACAGCTAGTGTCAAGTGTCTGAGGCTGGATTTGAACTCAGGTTGCCACCTAGCTGCCTCTCTGGACTGCTTTTCCTTTTATCTTTGTAGCCCTAGGGCCCAGCACAGTGTATGCACTTATTAAGTGCTTATTTGCCTTGCATTTTCTAATACCCTGGCACCAGTTGATCCTAAAGAGAGAAGTGAAGGGCAGTGAGGTTTTCATCTCTTTTCTATGGGTTGTCTGGTGTTGGTTTGGTTCATCTAAGCAGCAAGCATCCAGGCTGTCAGATGCCAGACCACACCATGACTATGGCTTTCTTAAAAATGTATTCCTACCTGGTGTCACTGCTCAGTAACGCCGGTGTAGTTTCAGCATGGGGCACAGCAGTAGCTGGCCAGACACCAGGGGAGTAACTGCCTTTACCAGTGTTTCCAGTTGTCTTCCCCTGTTTCTGCTTTATATCATAATTATTTCCAGGAGACTGTGCTGCTTCTGCTGCAGGAATCGGTGACACCCCCTGAAACAGAAAGAAGGGTGGGGAAAGCAATGAAAGGGAATTAAATAATGCATAAAGAGAGAAGAGGACATCAGCAGACCGCTGGTCTCACTGCTGGCATGGAACAAAGCTTTCAACATGGGAAGTCATCCCGCTTTCTCTATTCTTACCCCCCAGTAGCAGCCAGGAGTCACTTAAAGGTCTTTGAGCTCCTACCTATGATCAATCGGTTCAGGGCTCCCCATGTGTGCTGCTGTTGTTCAATCACTTGAGTTGTGTCTGGCTCTTTCTTGGCAAAGACACTGGAGTGGTTTCCCTTCCTTCTCCAGCTCATTTTACAGATAAGGAAACTGAGGCAAACAGGGTAAAGTGACTTGCCCAGGGTCACACAGGGGGTATTTGAAAGTGGTTTTGAACTCAGATCATCTTGACTCCAGGCCTCAAGCTTTATCCACTGTGCCAATTATCTGCCCTCATATACAGAAGAGAGTATAAAATAGGGCAAAACTAAATTACTTTCTACAGTGTTTAGCACATAGCAGGAGCTTAATAAATGTTTACTGATTGATTGGATGACTGATTGATTGATTGATTTTCTAGGATGAGAGCTCTCCAACTTTGTTCAGCAGTGCTCTCTCTGACTTCCCAGGCTCTAGACCCTGCAAACCAAGACCTCTGCTCCCTGTCTACTCCTCCCAATCACAGCAGACATTCCTAGATCTTGTTAACTGTTGCCCAACTAGATCTGTCCAATCTGCTTCAGTAGGCAAAGAGACATATGCCTTATGATTCTTTTGGTTTTGATCCCTCTCTGGACCTTATTTCCAATTACTGGGTCTCTCCCTGATTAGTTGGAGTCTAGATTCTATCCAAACTTTTCTATTGCTGCCCAAGCTTCAGATATCCTTAATCTGGCATACTTTTTAAAACATATTTTATTATTCTACTTCAATATAATTGGCTTCTTTTGTAATTCTATGCATTTTATATTACGCATTTAAAAAACATTATTCTGAGAAAGGGTTCGTAGGTTTTACCCATCTTCCAGAGGGGTTCATGACACAAAGGAAGGTTAAAAACTTGGCTTATGGTGAAAGATCAGCATTTATAATGACTTATCTGGATCCCAACCCCTGTGGGTGCCCCAGTCCCTTCAGGAAAGCCAGTTAACTCCATCTGCAGGCTTAGCCTCACCCCAAGGTCCTGGGATCAGTCTGACTACTACTCTAGAAAACCGAGAGAGAGAGAGAGAGAGAGAGAGAGAGAGAGAGAGAGAGAGAGAGAGAGAGAGAGAGACAGAGAGAGACAGAGAGAGAGAGACAGAGAGAGAGAGAGTGTGTGTCTGTGGTGGGGAGGGGTTCCTTCCCCAAGCAAATCTGTCTAATCTTTCATCCTTGCCACCCTCAATCTGGCCCATCCAAACACTAACAATAAGACAGTTCACTCTTTCTGGAGACGGTTTAAACATTCTTCCAAACTGTCCTGAGTAACCCTGATTTCACATGCAAAGCCTGAAAAAGGACAAGTAACATCTTCACAGAATCGAAGAATTTGAGATTTAGAAGCAAAGCACTCAACTAGTCCAATCCACAACCTGAAGCAGGGATTCTTGGACAGATTTCAAGAGGTCTTAAATACATCTTTATCGTCACTAATTTCTAACAGAAACTTAGCATTTCCTTCAATTATTTTAAAACATTATTTGGAGGAGGGGTCTATGGGCTTCACTAAATTGTCAGAGGGTTCCATCACACACACACACACACACACACACACCACACACACACACACACACACACACAGTTAAGAACTTCTGCCCTAAAGGAATTTCTACTACAATTTCCCCAGTGAATAGTTGTCCAGTCTCTGCTTGACAACCTCCAAAGAAGGGGAACTCATACCTTCCTAGGTATTTCAGCTGATGAGGTAAGAGGTAGTCTGAGGCAGGTAGGACAGAGTCAACGATGGCTGAGGTTATAAAGTTGAGTGACTGGAATGTCCTCAACAAAAATGGGGAAATTTGGTCAGGGGGATCTGAGTTCAAATGTGGCCTCAGATGCTTGATACTTACTAGCTGTGTGACCCTGGGCAAGTCACTTAACTCCATTTCCTAGCCAAAAAAAAAAAGGAAAGGGAAGGAAAGGAAAGGAAGGAAAGGAAAGGAAAGGAAAGGAAAGGAAAGGAAAGGAAAGGAAAGGAAAGGAAAGGAAAGGAAAGGAAAGGAAAGGAAAGGAAAGGAAAGGAAAGGAAAGGAAAGGAAAGGAAAGGAAAGGAAAGTTGGAGAATGAATGGATTTAGGAGGAAACAAAAAAAAGGTCCATTTAAGACATGCTGAATTTGAGATAACTACAGGACAGTCAGATGTTCTGCAGGCAATGGGGAATTTTGACCTATACCTACACACCTATGTCTTGTAGTCTTTGCATAAAGATAGTTGAACTCAGGAGAGATAAAAGCAGACACAGAGAGAGAGAGAGTAAAGAAAAAAAGTCTGTGACAGAAGATTAGCATAAAAAACATTTAGACAACAGTAATGGAAGTGAGAGAAAGTGGGATGAAGTAGATAGAGAACTGATCTTTTTTTAACTTTTGGAAATTTAAATCAAAGCTTTATTTGATAGAATAATTACAGAATCTCAGAATTGAAAAGGACCTTGGAGGCCATCTAATCCAACCCGTAGCTGAAAAATAATACTCTCAAAGACATACTTGACAAGTGGTCACCCAGCTTTTGCTTGAAGACCTCCAATGAGGGGAAAGACCATTAATTACCTCCCAAGGTTCCCCATTCCTCATTTGCAAAGCTCTAATTTGTTCAGAATTTTCCCCTTGTCTCCACCCTACATTTGCCTCCACTACTTACACCTACTGTTCCCAATTCTTCTCTCTGGGAACAAACAGAATAGGTCTAATCTGTCTTCCAGGGGATAGCCCTCTACTTAAAGCCCTAAATCTTCTCCTAGCAGGACATTCCGAGTTCTTTCAAATGGTATCATGATAGTCATCTTCCAGGTACTCTCCAGTTTATCAATGTGCTTCAGCTATAAAAAATATTCACACTTTCATTTATTAAGTCAATTTGGGGGATCCACAGCAAAATCCAAACATGAAAACCAATCATTTTTCCCAGTGCTGAACCAGTTGTCCCCTCCATACAAGCCTTAGATCAGGGATTCTTAACCTCTTTTATGTCATGAATCCCTTTGGAAATCTAGTGAAGTCTATTTAGAGTAATGATTTCAAATTCATAAAAACAAGATACATAGGCTAGGATGACCAAGGAGACAAATTATATCTGAATATAGTTATCAATATTTTTTTAAATGTCATAGATACCAGATTGAAAATGCCTGCAAGAGGAAAGCAATTTTAGAATTTTTAACATATTTAACAGTCTAATACAAAACAAACAACAAAGTTATCTACATTAGAAGTAAGGAGAACCACCCATTTCAAATACAGCCAGCTAAACAAACAAAAAACTTGGCTGTATAGGCATGTAAATAGCTAATTGGAACTTTATATATAGAAGAATAGGCTTTGGAAATCATCTAGTCCATTCCCTCTCATTTTTCATTGAAGTTGAGTCATTTCAGTCATATCTGACTCTTTTTTTGTGACCCCATTTGGGGTTTCCTTGGCAGAGATAAGGGAATGGTTTGTCATTTCCTCCTCCAGCCCATTTTACTGATAAGGAACCAAGGCAAACAGGGTAAAGTGATTTGCCCGAGGTCACACAACTAGTAAATGTCTGAGGCCAGATTTGAACATGGGAAGATGAGTCTTCCTGACTCAAAGGCCAGCATTCTATGCACTGTGCCACCTTAGCTGCGCCTCCCCCCCAACATTTTTACAAATAAATAGAATCAAGAGAAATGACTTCCCAAGGTCACACAGTCAAACCCAAGATCTCCTGAATCACACAGTCGATAGCTTTCTTCCATCACATTATATTGCCTCTCAACTGTAAATATAGAGTCTTATACTGCTTGGATTAAAAAGATCATTTGCATGGGACCAGGAAGGGAAAAATGTGGGAAGTTACATAGAACTGATAGAAGCTAGGCGATGAGAACAAAATTCCCTTAGCTCTTAATGATCTTCCAGATGTGAGACAGAACCAGAGAATGAATGTTCATGAGGAAAGAACAGGAGGATGTTAGTGGGTTACAAGTTCAACCCTGAGTTAATAGGCTGATAGCGCAGCCCCAAAACTTAATAGGAAATTAGGCTCCTATTCATGATAGCATGAAGGTGATGCTGGAGTCTCAAAAGGCACACTGTTGAAGCACAGGCAAGAAGCAGAAAGGCTGTGGGTATGGACTGGCCAGGCCATGTGTCCAACATCCGAGGACACAGTTAGCTAAGGGCTAAGAAGACAGATGTCAGACAATGGATTTATTTGTCCTCGAACGCTCATGAAAATGTTTGCTGAGGCATGGAGAGGCTGGAATCTGCATTAGTGAAGGGAGTTCCCATATTATGATCTCTGAAATCACAGATCTGCTAAAGTCTGTGTAAAGTTGGAAGTATCCAGAACGAGGAAAGTTACAGTCCCACAGAACTCTGCCTCAGCCAGCTTGCATCTGGAATAGTGTATTCAGTTCTAGCCACCATACTTTTTTAAAGGTCAGTGATGATTCTGAGCATGTCCAGTGGTGACCAGGTTGGTGAGAGGACTAGAAACCATGCTATATATAAGGATCAGTTGAAGGAATTGGAATGTGTAGCTTGGAGAAAAAGACTTGGAAGAATGTCATAATTATATACATATATAAAGAGACTGCATGTGTTTCAGGAATTAGATCCAATTTTTCTTGGACCCAGAGAACAGAACCAGGATCAATAAATGGAAAATGAAAGATCACAAAATTTCAGTACGCTTGGAAAGGAAAAACTTCCCATCAATCAGAGTTTTCTAGAAGTGAAATGGCTGCCTTAAGACATAATAGGTTTAGACAATAGGACTTAAATGGTCCAGTGTCCAAATACCACAGTCCCAGAACTTCAACATTTTTCCA